CTCAGAGCTTTCCCACTAAGATTGGGAACAAGACAAGGTTGTCCACTTTCACCACTCCTATTCAACACAGCGTTGGAATTCCTGGCCACAGCGATCAGACAGGAAAAAGAAATAAAAGGCACCCAAACTGGAAAGGAGGAAGTAAAACTGTCATTGTTTACAGATGACATGATAGTGTACACAGAAAACCCTATAGACTCCACCAATAAACTATTCAAGCTAATAAGTGAATTTGGCAACACAGAGGGATACACAGTCAGCATTCAGAAATCAAAGGCATTTTTGTACAAGAATGAAATATCAGAATCAGAAATCAGGAAAAAAATCCCATTTGCTATAGCAACAAGAAAAAGAAAGTACCTTGGAATAAACCTAACCAAGGAGGTAAAAGACCAGTAGTCAGAAAATTACACAACACTGAAGAAAGAAATTAAGGAAACACAAATAAATGGGAGCAAATACTGTGCTCATGGACTGGAAGAATTAACATCATCAAAATGTCCCTACTACCCAAAGCAATTTATAGATTCAACGCAATCCCTATTAAATACCAATGACATATTTCACATAGAATAAACATTTCAAAAATTTATATGGAACCATAAATGATCCCAAATAGCTGCAGTAATTCTGAGAAAGAAGAACAAAGTAGGAGAGATCACAATACCTGACATCAAACTATATTACAAGGCCACTGTAATCAAAACATAAGAACAAACACAAAGATCAATGGAACAGAATAGAGAGCCCAGAAGTAAACACATGTTTCTACGGTCAATTAATATTCGACAAAGGGGGCAGAAGCATAAAATGGAGCAAAAATAGCCTCTTTGACAAATGGTGTTGGGTCAGCTGGACAGGTACATGCAAAATAATGAAATGTGACCACCAACTTACACCATACACAAAAATAAACTCAAGATGGATACAAGACTTAAATGTAAGTTGCGACACCACAGAAGTCCCAGAGGACAATATAGGAAAGAAACTCCAAGATATTCCACACAGCAATATTTCCTCCAATATGTCTCCCAGAGCAAGGGATATAAAGGAAAGAATAAACAAATGGGACTTCATCAAAATAAGAAGCTTCTGCATGGCTAAAGAAAACATCAGCAAAATGAGAAGGGAACCAACCATATGGGAAAATATATTTGCCAACGATACCTTGGAAAAGGGTTTGATCTCCAAAATATATAAAGAACTCACATGACTCCACGCCAGGAAGACAAACAAACAATCTAGTTAAAAAATGGGAAAAACACCTGAACAGACACTTCTCCAAGGAGAACATACAGAGGGCCCAGAGATATATGAAAGGATGCTCAGCATCACTAGCCATCAGAGAGATGCAAATTAAAACCGCGATGAAATACCACTTCATACTGGTCAGAATGGCCATCATAAACAAATCAACAAACAACAAGTGTTTGCAAGGTTGTGGAGAAAAAGGAACCCTAGTACACTGTTGGTGGGAATACAGACTGGTGCAGCCACTGTGGAAAACAGTTTGAAACTTCCTCTAAAAGCTAAAAATGGAACTGTCTTTTGACCCACCAATTCCACTGCTGGGATTATACTCTAAGAATCCCGAACAGCAATTCAAAAGAACCTACGCACCCCAGTGTTCACAGCAGCACAATTTACAACAGCCAAATGTTGAAAGCAACCTAAGTGCCCAACAGTAAATGAGTAGATCAAAAAACTATGGTACATTTACACAATGGAATACTATGCAGCAGAAAGAAAGAAAGAGCTACTACCCTTTGTGACAGCATGGATGGAACTGGAGAGCATTATGCTAAGCAAAATAAGCCATGGGCGAAATACAAATACTGTAAGATCTCACCTGTAAGTGGAACCTAGTCAGCAAAACAAACAAGCAAGCAAAATATAACCAGCAATGTAGAAATAAAAAACAGACAGTGACCAGAGGGGAGGAGGGAGGGGGAAAACTGCAGAAAGAAGGGAAAGCATCGTCAAGGAACACGCGTAAGGACCCAAGGACAAAGCCAAAGTGGGGAAGGATTGGGGGTGGGAGGTAGGGGTGAGTGGGGAGGAAAGTGGTGGTGGGAAAATAGAGACAACTGTACTTGAACAATAATAAAAAAATAAATTAAAACCCTCCCACAAAATTATAAAGTAAAATTTATACCAATAGACAACGTGTCTAGATAGCTGGGAATGGGCTGTGGGCAGTGAATAGGAGGGCCTGCCAGGGAATATGCAGCTGGGTAATTGGAATGGAACCTGGGACCTGCTTGTGCACCAAGCCATGCCCCTTGGGGGCAGAAGTCAGAGGTCACAGCACTAAGAGTGTCGTGCGCAGCTGGACAATACCTTCATGAACTGACTGGGGCCATGGGAAGGACAGAGTTATGCTTCCATGTTGCCCAGTTACCTGACAGCATGCTTGGTGGACGCTGTGCCCCAGGGTGGAGGTCCTGCTCCTAGCTGCAGATGCACTGCTCATACCACTGAGGTCACACTCCATGCTGCCAGAGATGCTGTCCAGGGTTTTCTAGGGTCCCTCCACTCAGGTGGTTGCTCTCTGCAGGTAGGTTCCACGTGTGGGCAACTCGCTTTATATGGTGACTAGGGCATGGCAGGCAGGGAGTTGACAGAGTGCCATGGGAGTCTCCCTGTCAGCCATGATGGCAAGCAGGGGAAGTTTTTACACTGATCACACAAGGCTAGAGAGATAACTGGATAGAGGAATAGCTCTCCTACTCCCTTCTGGTACCAGACTGGGGGTGGGACCAGGGGAAGACAGGCACATGCAAAAAAGAAGTTAAAATTGTGGCAGAGGAGGGGCTGGACCAAAGAGGCCTGCAGGTCTAGCTTGGGGGAAAAAAGGGGACTATTGGGAGGTAGATCCACCCAAAGTGTGCAAAAGTTTAGGAAGTTAATTGGTCATTCTGAGAAAGCATGTCGTCCATCCCACACCTGAAACTAACATAAACCCAAGGGAACATAGAAACTGGCTCTTGCTTACTGCTCACTGCTTGAGACCTGCACTAGGACCGGGCATTGGCCTGTCCTCTTCATGTGCCATGTGACCTTACAAGTCATGTGGCTCATGGCCTCCAGGAGGAATTCATTCTCTCTCTCTCTCTCTCTCTCTCTCTCTCTCTCTCTCTCGCTCTCGCTGAATTGATGGAGCATTCACCGGTAAGTTTGTGTGCCCTTCAGCCTGGGAGCATGGGACCTTGCAGCCCTGAAAGCCACATGGCCAATGGCAGCCGAGCTCTAGACCCAGCCTCCAAGAGGGAGACTGAAGCTGAACAGCAGCTGGGAACAAGCTAAGCTACATGTATAACCACTTAACAGCGGCCTTGGTCTCCAAAGCATGGTACTTTAAAATGAAGCAGGAACTCAGGGCACTGCCTTTTGTTTTGGTCTTGCTGAGGATGGCTGGGTTTTGTGGAGGAAATGAGCTTTGAGATGGGGAGTCTTCCATTATACCACATCATTCAGCAGCTGAATAAAAACCCCCTTCTCTCCTTACCAGCTTCTGCCTCTAGAGTTTGCCTTTTGTGGTGTTAGGCAGCCAAATCCCCTTTATTGTTCAGTAACACAATGAGATGATGTATGTCAAACAAATAATACAAACAAACGAAAAAGAGCCATAGAAGTTCTTAAAAATAAAGACTGAAGTTGTGACAGGGTAAGAAGATAGATAAAGCCTGCCCGGGTCCTTGAAGGAAAGGTAGATTCAGATAAAAAAAGAGAAAGCTGAGAGGAGTGGGGATAGGGGTATTCGGGCAGAGAGAGCAGCATAAACATGGCAGACAAAACATACATGGCATGTTTCAGAGGTACTAAAAACAGCAGCTTAATTTGAACAACAGTTTGTAGAAAAAGAAATTTTAACAAATTGAAAGTTTTTGTCAAGTTCTAAAAAGCTTTGAATATAGGTTTAAGAATTATATTTCAATGGGTAAGAAAAGAAGTATCTTTCAGTTCTAGCATCAAACTTCCAGAGCCACATAATCTACTCCTAAGAAAAACTAAATTGGTTTCGGAACTACTTTCTATCCTCTGCTTCTTTCATTTTATAAATTACAAATACCAAATTTAATTCCTTTATAATTAGGTAAGAATCCTCAAATAAATACATCTGCTGTCACTAATGCTTGGAGAGATTTTTAAGTTTCCTAGTATTTTTTGAATTTTAAGGAAATGTTTTGCTTTTAGAAAAGTCTTCTCAAGTAACTAAATCCCATGAAAAGAAAGGAAACTCAAATCTGATCATGACTAGATAAGGCAAAGGTATCTGTTTTGCAACTTAAACTAGTGAATCAGAGTTTTGAACTTTGCTGTAGGCACCATTCCCTGCAATTTGTTGATAGCTGATAAGTGCTTTTCTTCTTTTTTCTTCATTTTTATTGTTGACACTATTACATATGTCCCCATTTTCCCTGCCTTCGCCCACCTACACACTGTCCCTGCCCCCCATTCCCTCTGGCCATCATCACACTGTTGTCTGTGTCTATGGGTTATGCATATATGTTCTTTGGCTGATCCCTTCACCTTCTTTCATCCTGTCTCTATCTGCTACCACCCCTCTGACAGCTGTCTTTCTGTTTCATGTGTCCATGCCTCTGTTTCTATTTTGTTCATCAGTTTATTTTGTTCTTTAGATTCCATGTATGAATACGTTCATATGGTATTAGCTGACAAGTACCTTTCTAGAATCAAAATTGTTGTAAATTAAACATTAAGTTATTGTCAAGAATTCATACTATGAAGCATACTGAGTAGCAAAATGTATTTATAGCAACAAGAATATGTGAATGAACCTTACTATTAAAACTTTTAATCAATTTAGGCATAATTTTAAAAAGTCATACTTAACAATTTAGACATATTCAGTTTTAGAAAGTTTAATTCACTATAATACCATATAACATGCACATATATGTGTGTATATTTTCAAAGATCAGGGTTTCTTCCCCCTTTCACTAATTTGTTATCAATTGTTTTACAGTAATACTTACCCTAATATCCTATTCATTCCATGTCTAGCAGCATAGTGTAAAGGAGTATTGTGCTGGTAGGGTTCCCCATAAGATGTATTTGGATCAAGAGATTCTTTTAGCTGAGGGTTGTTTTCATATATTTGGCAGGCCAGGTTTTCATCACCATTGATGAGTGCTTTACGGAATTTCGTGGTTGTATTTCCCATGTTTTGTTTTGTTTTTTTCTGACAGGCAGTGGCACTTTTTTCCTCCCCCCTTCAGCCACTTCTTGAATGCTTCTGTAACATGCTTCACATTCTATTAAAGGAAAAAATGATCAAATTAGACTGGGAACCAGTAATTATGAAGCGGTATCCTAGAAACTCACAATTAGGAACACTAATAAAATATAGAAAGAGGATGTAAAGTGACAAATCATATTATATTTTACTAAATTTATCTTAATAGCAAAAAAAAAATCTCAAATTTTTAAACACTGTCCAAATTAACTTCTTGTTAAACTGACTTTTCTGTATAGAGACTGTTAAGGTTTTGCAGGTTGCACTTTGTATTATAAAAGTAATTTACATATGTGTAGAGAAAAAGTTTTAATTTTCCTTTTCACATGGGCAGGAAATGAACTCACCTCAATTTTATGGTAGAATACACTTAAATCTCTGTATAAACTATGTATAAATCTGCCCCAGCCAATTTGTAAGAGAGTGAAAAATGTAGAATTTGCTCATATAAAGACTCCAGAATAGATGTTAAATTATGGTAAAGAAAAAGTGAAACTGCTCAGTACTTAATAAGGACATCAGAGAAAGGACTTCATAAATGTAAACATTAGAGGACTACACAATTCCCTGATTAATGAGATCGTTACAACAAACTAATAAAACTGATTATACACAGAACAATGGAAACATCAGTCTACCTTTAAACCATTAAATTTATTTCCTTCGCACTGGCTGGTGTGGCTCAGAGGATTGAGCGCCAGCCTGCGAACCAAAGGGTCACCTATTCGATTACTAGTCAGGGCACAGGCCTGGGTTGCGGGCCGAGTCCCTGGTAGTGGGTGTGCAAGAGGCAACCCCACAATGATGTCTCTCTTCCTCCCTTCCCCTCTCTCTAAAAATAAATAAAATCTAAAAAAAACTATTTCCTTTTACTATAAAGAATTTAAAACAAAGCTGAAAACATCAAATACTTAGGCATACTATGTTTAGAAAGAGGTTATGACAATGGTCATATGAGCATTAACTACTGATGCAATGTGAGTGTGGGTAGGGGAAGAAGGACATGGAAACAATTACTGGACTTGGAGTTCAAAATCTCATATTTACCTACCCTAGCTGTGCAATTTTGAGCAAGTTATTTACCCTCTAAAAGCCTCAGGTTCCTAACTGTACAGTAAAGGAAAATGACAACTTCTTAAGGATGGCCGTGAAGATTATAAGAGCTACTTTATCATAAAGTACCTACCACAGTCCTTGACTAGTATACTCAATATATGCTAGTTCTGTTCCATTCCCAGAGATGGTTCTGAATCTACTCTTGAATTATGATCAAAATAAGTGATAAAGGAAACAGCATATACAAAGGCAGGTATGAAACAAAAGGCTTATTCGAGGAGGTAAGCACGGAGTTCAGGGTTTCTAGTGCTGGACTAACAAAAAGTAAACTGAAAAGTAAACTTAGTCCAGACTAAGAAACTTTTACTTTAACCTGTAAATGAATATGAAGCCTTTTATGAAGGACAATGATGTAATTATTTTTATGCTTTAGCAAATGAACTATTGTTACAGAGTAGAAGACAGACTAGAGGGAGAAAAACTTAGAAGCAGAATACAGGAGTCTATCATGTTACCCAATTAACTCATTGGCAGGCTGGACATTAAAGCATAGCTTTAAGAAAAGTGGAAAAGAATGCATACTTGTTCAACACAAGCTCTGTACAGGTAGTAACAGTTTCAACAGAATACAAATTAAAGGATTGAAAAACAAATAAGTTTTTCTTTTTTTTAAGTTTCCTATAGAACAGAGGCTCTCAACTTGGGCTATACACTGAATAACGTGGACAGCTTCAGAGTTCTACCAGCCGAGCTACATCCCAGACCCATTAAATGAGAGTGTCTAGTGTGTGGCTCCCAGGCATCGGTATTTAAGCTCCATGGGTGAGTTCAATGTGCACACACCACTGTATAAAAAAAGCTCCTGAATCCCTCTAGATAAATGTTATTATGAGTATGAAGATCAAGGTGAGTAGGCAGGATTAAGACATCTGCTGAATCTATTTTAGAGATAGGTATACCTAATTAGTATAGCAGTACATTTTCTGACACATAGCTATACTTAATGAGGTCAACATTTGGGTCTTTTAAGGGTTCTTTGTCACTGATTTTTTTACTTTAAATATTCAAATACATATGCAAAAATTTTTTTGAAAATATGAGTAAAGAAAAGAGGACAAAAATACTTAAGGCCTATTTACTGGAAGATAACCACTGTTAGCATTTTGACAAACAACTGCTGCATTTATGATGTATGTAAATATGTGTTTGTATGCATATATAAATTGGACACTACATAATTTTAAAATTTTTATTTAACTTTTTAGAGAGTTGCTGAACCTTTAGCCTAAAGTATTCCTTAATCATCTCATCTTGAATGAGGAGCAAATTCCCCCCTCCCACAATCTATGCTTTGATAACACAATATACTACAGCCACTTCTGGGATTTTTCAGCAACAGCCTGAATGTTACTTTCTTTTTCTTTTATTTTTCATAGAATCTAGAAGCCATGTCTTTATCTTCAGTAAGGTATGTTCTGCTGTACTGTTGTAGGCACTTTAAGACTTTATTATTCTTAACAGAACTCCATTCAGTTTCTTGTATATTTTTATCTGTAACCAAATAAAAGAATATTATCATGTGGGTTCTAAAGGATCTTTCCTAAGGATTTGGAAACTTTCAGTTGTTTGGTCTTATCTTTCTTCCCTGACAGATTGTAGCTCAAATTATGGACATTTTCAGTTTTAGATTAGACTAATAAATAACACATGTTCTCTGATTTACATAATTAGAGAAATGTTTTAAAAGACAGTAATTTCTATCCAAGATGTGATTTAAAAAAACAAACCCTTTAAAAGCAATGATATCTTGGGGATACTTATTTAACATAACAAGATACTTTTAAAAAATCAATAGCACTCTAAAATGTCCATTTAAATATTACTATTAGTCATGGTGAAAGCATGCTAGACTCTGGACACCTTTTTGTGGCTCTCAGTTATTTTCAGGTATGTTTCACTTTTAAAATGAGTTCAATGAACCTGAAACTCACCAGGAAATACATCATTTAAAGCAGTCATAGCTCCATTCCCCCCTCAGATTTATTCAGACAAGTCTTGCCTAAAAACTTGCAAGATGTGTCCTTTCACTTTTTCATAGCTACAGCTAGCACAGCCTGAGATGACTTCCCTCTTTGTTTTTGAATCAAATCCTTAAGTACTAGTTCTCCAACTCCAACATACTGTATATAGAGCTTTAAGAAGCAAGTGATGGATTATGAAAGAGGTAAAAATTTTGGGCTTTTGTTATACAGGAAAATCTAGCTGAAATTTCATTACTTACTAGTAAAGTACAGCACTTAATAAGTATTTAATAGAAAAAGTAAGAAAAGTATACCCTGTCAATGAACACCAGAGTTTTCCCTAATTTTTGACTAACTTTTTATTGTGAAGGGCTTATAACTCTTGCTCTGAATCTTTGTCTCTCAACTTCCTCATGGATAGGTTAATAATCAGGTGCAACAACAAGTGCACTTAAATTAATAAACTACATCAAGAAATCTTTTATAGAAGATGAAATGCTTAAGAAATAAGTAACGCCTAATTTATCTCTTTCCACAAAGGTAAATTAATTTTTTTGATTCTCACCTGAGGATATGTTCATTGATTTTGGCAGGTGGTTGGGGTGAGGGGAGAGACAGAGATAGAAACACCGATCAGTTGCCTCCTGTATGTGACCTGGACCAAGGATCAAACCTGCAACCTAGGTATGTGCCCTGACCCAGAATTGAACCTGCAACCTTTTGGTGTATGGGGCGACACTCCAGACAACTAAGCCACTCGACCAGGGCTACAAAGGTAAATATTTTAAAGTCATAATTCTGGGTTGAGGTTGTTGACCTAAATGAAATAAATGACTCTCATTCTTCTTCATTTACATGGAAGAGAAGTCAATGTCACACACACACACACACACACACACACACACACACACACACACACACGTCATCCTTCTAGAACTTTCTGCAGATAAGAACAATTGATAAGAATAGCAATTTTAAATCTACAGCTAAATTTCTCTTTAGCCAAAACAGAAACAAGTAGGAAGTTCATTCAACTCCAGCTCCCTGTAGAAATCAGAGATGTTTCTCAAGGAAGAAAATTCCAGAAAGCTCTACATCCAAAGAAATGCTGAAATTTTCAATGCAGTAATACTCAATGAAGAGAAGAGGATTGTTTACAAAAAAAAGACTAAGAAAACTGTTAAGGGGTAAGGTAAAATAAATAAAGAAAGAAAGATAGAAGGAAAAAGGCCATGAAAGTCAATACACTACAGCAGACAGAAACCACATGGGCAAATTATATTTTAAACTATCAACTCTGTTCATTTATTAATAGAGTGTCAATAAGCGTTTATTAACACGTAGTAATTTTCTTTGATCACCATGCATTAGAATCACTGGGGGACTACTTCTGGCCAAGATGGAGGCGTAGGTAGATACACTTTGCCTCCTTGCACAACCAACAGAAGGACAACAACCACTTTAAAAACAAAAAACAGAAAACAACCGGAACTGCCAGAAAATGGAACTGTGTGCAAGTCTGACAACCAAGGAGTTAAAGAAGAAACACTCATCCAGACTGGTAGGAGGGGTGGAGACGGGCAGCTTGTGCGGTGAAGACGTGCAACAAGGCAGTGGTTGAAGGACTGGGCAGGCGGGACAGCAGCTGACATGCCCACGTTTGCCTGCAGATAAACTGGGAGGACCAGCTGGGGAGCGAAACAGATCGCACGACCCCGGGTTCCAGCATGGGAAAAGAAAGCCTCTAAATCTCTGGCTATAAAAACCTGTGGGGGTTGCAGTGGCAGGAGAAACTCCCAGACTCACAGGAGAGTTTGCTGGAGAGACCCATAGGGTCTTAGAACATACACAAACCCACCCACCCAGGAATTAGCACCAGAAGGGCCCAATTTGCTTGTGGGTAGTGGGCGAAGTGACTAAAAGCTGGCTGAGAGCCAAGCAA